GATGACAAGGAGGTGTTTATAACGGTAGGAGCTTCTGAAGGAACAAAAGGGGGGGATAATTTTGTAATAAAATCCACAAGCCAGGGTGTCGGGTCGTTAGACGAGGTGTTGTTGTGATCAGTCTGAGATCTGCGAAAGGATTTTATTCTCTTCCAGACTGTAGACGGGTGGGTGCGGGGTTCCAGAGATTCGCAGAATGCACGCCATCCTTGAAATTTCTTTTTGCTCAGAAATCTTCTCGTGTGAGCGGAAATCTTTTGGAAAGTTAAATAATTCTCAAAGGATAAGTCACATGTGAATTCAAGTTCTGCCCGATTTCTTTCCTTGACTGACGCAGAACATTCCGAATCCCACCACGGGGGAGAGGAAATTTTTCTATTTGCAGAGTTTTTTAATGGGATTATTCACGAATTCACGAATTTTTTGACAGTTTACTTTTCTTTTTAAATGCTTGAATGTTACCATTTTCTTATATTGGAATGAAAGATCGATACGAAATCGATTATGGAACTCCATTAAAATGAAAAATAAATCAACCCTAACTTACTATTCCTTTCCTCAAAAAAAATAAAAAATAATCACGTAGTATTCACATTAAAAAATAACGATTTTTAGTTAGTTTCCTAATATTTTCTTTGCAAGTCCTATTCTTTTTACCTGGTGCTTTTTTACAGATTCTCCCGTGTGGAATCATGTTTAGAATGTCAGCAAATGTCAGTAGCAATTGACACAGTATCTGTTTGGGTCTGACATAACCTCAAACAAAACCTCAAAAAATTAGCGCGTGATGTTTAAATATTTATGTAGACGTTTTAAGGCTAATAATTTTATATGTTAGTGTCCTCCATGATTCATAATAAAAATTTAAACTAAGGAAATCACGTAAGTAACATTTTGAAAAATAATAGCAAACGGAATAGACCAGCCAAACCGGCAATTTAGGCGTTATGAATTTCCCAAAGGGGTCTTTGATTGCTTACATACCAGGAGCAATATTGAAATTACTTAGAGATCAGTATAGGTCCAGAAAAATGCCTTTTTTGTTACGAGAGACTCGTTTTACTTCTATTTTATTTGAAACCGTGCATATTAAGTCTTAATTCAGCGGGAATTTTATTCTTCTGCCAATAACTAATAAACTGCCTCTGGGTCGAACGGTTACCACGCTGGTCTGCCACGCAGAAAAAGTTTATATGGCCTACTTTTATTTCACTCGTGAATTTGGGTGTAATTTGTGGTTATCTATGTGTGTCCATGGCATCCGCGATACAGGGTTACCCTAGTGCGGGGCTATGTAGAGTGTGTACGTTATTATTATTTTTTCTATCTTTATCATTTCAGTATGTCCCATTCAGCCAAAGCTTCTACTACATTGAAAGGCAAAAAACTAGACCTAGTTCAAGAGGAAAAGACCACTGAACTTATACCAAACAAGAAAAATATGTTAGCAGCATCTGCCAGGTATAATCAAGAGTATGTCAAGCTTGACACTTTGTACTTTGGACCATTCTTATTGCAAGTCGCATAGAGTTGGTTTCAAGTCTTAAGTGCTCTTGACCGTGTACTAAAATGTTACTAGCCCTTGCTAATTGAAACTTTTGCCGTTTCTTATATTTGAATTGTTTGTTCATACAATAAATTATAGAATGTGGAAAGAAATTTTTTTGATAATTAAAATTTGAAAAACCTTGTAATGGAATAAGACAGCCCAGTTGAAATATTATTGTCTTAACAGTTTAGTGTTGCCATTAAAACGATTTTCTACTAAATAACTGTTTAAATTTGAAAGTATTGCCATTTAAGCCACTGTGTCTACTAATTATTTGTGAAACTTTCACCAGTGTTGCTTTTTACTCAATTATTGTTTTTAATAATTGTCAGAAATAGTCTAATTCAGTACCTATTCAAATATGTAATTTATAATAACTTTTTAAAAAGAAGTTATATTACTGGTACTTTAACATATAGTCACTTTTCTCGTATTGAAAGTAGAAATGAGGACAAAATTTCAGCCAACTTATTATTGTCGTAGTAACGTAGTTGCGTTACTACGACAATCATGTCCACCCATTCATGCGAACAACTTTTGCTATATGTGTCACCGTACTTAAATCGCGTAATAAATATATCCGTTTTATACTATATATTCATTTCCACTCAACTAAAATATGGAACTTATGATTGGTAAAAAAAGTAAACGATATTCAAATTTGATTCTTTTTCTTAATGTAAGGGTGTTATTGTTCGTATAAAAGGGTAGAATCCACCAGTAGGTGTAACGCAATTAAATCCCTTTCAAGCCCTGAAAAACCACCCTATCAAAACTTTTGTTTTGGCGTGATTGTGTAACATGCATCAATGCAAAGGACAATGGCAAACTCACGTATCAATTTTTTGTTGACATAATTTTTATAATATTGAGTTGAAATTCCTGAACAAGTTTTGTTTTGGGTTTACTATTCTGAGAATTCAGGAATTAATATATTCGGTGTATTATTATATCAAAATAAACTACAGAAGCCTTAAACAGAGTTATTAGAAGATGAATGGTGCCGTGGGTTTGTGAGGTGACAAAAGTTCAGAGGAAATTATTTTGTATACTAGTATGGTCAAAAGTTAAGCCGTAACAAAAAACTGAGTTAACTAATAACATACCACAGATTATTGCACTGGTAACCCACGACACAAATTATTTTTGTTTGTGAAACGCGCTGATTTTGGGAACTCTTTTGTCAGTTTTATCATGTACTCGCGTGGCATTTTGGTGAAGAAATTATCGACTTTATTTTGTAATGAAGTAGATAATCTTTTATTAGCTTATGAGAAATCGGTCGAATCAGCATATTTGATATTACGTGAACTAATAGTGGACCGTATCCATACATTTTTTTTTTGGCGGCCAGATGTCGCTCAACGTTAAGAAACTGATAGTTATCTTTAAGAAACTGATAGATATCAGTCTGTTTACATAGTAATTAGTCATTCGAGTTTCTTTTGAATATGATTTTATTTCTAGACTTAGGGTCGTATTCCAGAACTCTACTCAATGCTCAAGTCAGCACTTGAGTATGCTTTCTGATAATACAAATCATACCCAAGTCCTTGCCATTAGGGTCGTATTTCCTGTGCTTGAAATTATACTCAATTCCTGAGGGTCTACTCTCGATCTCCGTCCGAAACAATTACTGTCAAATAAGTAATATTCGACAAAATTAAAAGACAAGTATCAAGTATGAAGCTTCATTCGCATCACGCGTCTTTTCATTTGGTCAAGTATTCCTTATTTGGCAGTAATTGTTTCGGACGGAGATCGAGTGTAGACCCTCTTTCTTGAGCATTGAGTAGAGTTCTGGAATACGACCCTTAGATAGGCCGCTGTTATCATTTGAAAAACCTAATTAATTTATTTTATTCAAACTTGTAATTAAGACATTTGAAGACGCTAACGAACTCTTAACTATGATTTTGCGATTGTTCTTTTCACATTTAGAATATTGTTATTTATTCCGATTAATTACAGTCCCCAAACACAGCAAGCACGGAACAAAAGGTCTGTGGTTTCTCCAGACCGAGAACTTGTACCATCGAAAAAAAATAAAAAGAAGAAATCGAAAAATACTCTTGGTAAGTCTACATTTTCTTCTCACTTATAATTGCGGCTCAAAATACATTTTTTTTAAATTGATAATAGAGAAAACAACGAAATGCTAGTGCTTTTTTTTTCAATTATCTTTGCCTTTTGATGGATATTGAATGAAACTCCATCTCTCATTATTTATATTATTAGATTTATTTCCTAAATTGGTTCAACCGACAATCGAATTCATATATCTTCTTGCTCATCGACTAAGCAATGATGGCCGAAAAGACGCTCTTGCCAATCTTCTTATCGTAAGGCTCAACTTACACTGGCGCAGAGTCGAAGCTTCGAAGAGCCGTCGCGCGTCGCCAGGCGTTGTACTTGAAAAACATGACGCGTCGCGGCGCTTCGACTCTGCACCAGTGTGAGTTGAGCCTAAGGCGAAATACAGTGCAATATTTATGATATTCTATTGTTTTGTGTTGACCTGTCAGAAGTAAGACATTATTAGAAATAGTGGATTAAACGACAACATTGTCAAAAGTTTGACAGATTAAGCGACGTCTGTGCAGGTCTACGAAACTTCTCACTCAGCCAGACCCTTTGCTACCAGCGACTGACGCGAGATGTTGCTGTAATAATCGTAATATCGAGTATATATTAAGATTATCATTTCCTACGCTTAAAACTTACATTAAAAGTATTTTAACTGAAAAACCGTATTACAAAATTGAAGAGTGTTTGTTAGATAAAGATGTATGTAAAGACAACATGAATATGAGTCTTGATTCCACACAATTATGATCGAACACAAAACATACTATCGATCTGACAGAGCTCGAACATGAGTCTGTATGCCAAACTAAGGCCACACATAATTGGGTAATAGGGTAAAGTATTTTCATTGTGATTGAAGTTAATTCATTCTGTATTTCATGTGACATTAGAACCTATCTGATTGGTCTGTGTTAATATTCCGCTGCATTCATAATGGAATTAACTTCATAGTGAACATTATTCATAAACTAAATAGAATACTAAGGATTAACAAGAAACAACATAATCAGGTAGATAAGTAGCACTTGGTTTGTTAATATTATGGATATCTTCTTTCTTAATGAAATTGTGTATATTTTTATGGTCATGAAGTATATGCACCTTACCTATTTCTGTCACCAAACAATAATGTCAGCATTACTGTGTTCCTGTTTTGAAGGTTAAGGCTGCTGTGAAATTACAGGCACATGTGACTTGTCAACTTATATCTCAGAGTGCGCAGTGACAGTGCGCCTCAGATCTTTGCGATTTAAAGCTCTGAGTAGCATTGCAACTGTTATGGACAGGTGTGTAGCTTCAAAACCAGGGTACCATCTCAGGAGTGTGCCATCAGGCGCACGACTTGTTCGTCCCGTCACTTGTTATTAGTTTTATTTTATTTCTTTATTTATTTAGACATTTATTTCGGGCCACATGACCCATATAATATATACCTTAAGGACTAACATACATACAATATAATAATAACATTTCTAACTAATTATACTTGTCGGCGACGTCTGGCGCAATTTGGTGTCAGGTAACCGTCCGCGAAATCCAAAATTCTTCCTTTATAAAGGTCGACAGATGTTCGGTTGGTACTCTCACCACAAACGAATTGAAATTAACATTGTGGCGCGACTCCAACCGCAATTATAAAAAAAAACAGGTGAAATAATTTATATGTATTTATTAAAGAACCTACACATTTTTTTAAGGCTCGCCACCCGACGATGGCCCTATAATTGCCTCCTTAACCGAAGAATACATGAAAGAAATGCAGAACCAATTGTTAGAGAAACAAACAGTTATGAATAAAGACAGCAAAGCGAATTTCACCAATATAATTTACAAACACAGAGTCACATCTAAGGTAAGTTAAATTTTAATTCATTCAAGTGGTAGGACTGACAAAATAGGCAACAACGAAGATGTTGGTTTTTAAGAATTTGTCCCTAGAAATTGAAATTTTAATATTTAGGTTGTCAAAACTAAAACATACCAAACACGCCAAAAGTAGTCAGATAATAATAAATTTAGGAAACAATTTCATAACAACGAAAACATTATACAACTAGGAACAATATCAATAACAATACAGCAGCAGATGCAAAGGCGATGCAAACGTGATGCAGTCGTTGTGGACCTTTACACACACGCGCGATTTTAAGCAGCGATACAAGCGCGCGACTGCATCGATTCAAACGCGCTATTGCGTCGATGCGATCGCCTATAAATCGCAAGTGTAGCGATACTAACCGTTGCTAAAAGCCGTGTGTAACCACTTTAAAATAATGTACAACAAAATATAGACACCAAGCTGTACCGAAGGTGAAATGCGGGACAGTGTATGAAAAAGCCATGGAACCATCTCCATGTAAATCGAATTCAGAAATAGACACGAAATAAGGGCCAAACATTCCTGGTAACTCATCAGTGATACATCACTTATAAATATCAACTCTCGTTTGCACTGAAATTGCAAACTAGAAAGCTGAAATAGTACCGCGCCAACAACTGACCTGTGCGTAAGTCTCCGTATATTCTAAAAATATTCTGTATTTATTGTAATAAAGATGTTCCATTCGGTGGTGTGGTGAAAAACAGCAAAACATCTAATTATAAAACAAACGGAATCAAATTTTATCGGTAATTAAATATTAAATATGTCATTTTGCAATTTTCGACCATTATAGCAAAGCTCAAGTTAACTGGTCAATTTGAAGTGAAATAATTGACGACACACGTCAATTGTTTCGAATTCGGGCGGGCCAATCAGAGCGCAGTTGTCACAGTAATAGTTTTCAAACAAATTAAATGACATTTCGTCTCTATATACTCGATGACCGCGCCTTAGATGTGCCACAAATTACACTATTGGTGTGCACTCACATGAACGCTAGTTTTGTTTCTCGACCGTCTCAGAATCCCATATTATTTTTCCAATCCGTTTGCAAACCTATTCAATAGTAGTAGCGCTCTTTGCGAATAAGTTTTGTCCTGGGATGTGTCGCCACTTTTATCTATTTAGGCCGCCAAGCATAATGTAAGCTTCAATGCGTTCCGGTTTTGAAGATAAGGGTCATGGAACTTGTCAACTTTATGTCTCAAGATGGCAGAAGCAGTGGCAATGCCCTTCAGATCTTTGCGATTTAAAATTTTGAGTAACATTACAATTGTCGTATTGTTTACATCAGGAATTAGGACTTTTTTTAAACGCCACGTCTCACCTGATGTTAAGCGACGATGTGACCGACGATGGGACGCGCTAGCCAAAAAAAATGCCTATTCAGCCTTGAATAGCCCCAAATTATACTTTTCGGGACACGCTGATGCCGTAGAGTATTCCATTTCCATTTGCCATACGCATCAGAAAGGAGGAGGCAAAGCGCTTAGTGCGAATAGGTGGTATATCGACATAAGGATGGATCTTCTGGTCTACCGAAGGAGGAACGGTGAGGGTGGAACTAAATTGAAAAGTTCCTGCGCACTCTTCCCGAAATGTAACCGATGGAAAACCGACAAGCAGGATACTTTTCTGCGATGATCGACATTTTGTAGCTTTGACTCCACAAAAGAATTGTTGTTAATAAGTCTCTTTGCTTTTCGCTCTACTGATTCCAAGGCAACTAAGTGGTAATGGGCAGAGCCGTCCCAAAGGTGGCATCAGTACTCCATACAAAGCACAAGTTCGATCACTTGTGCTTTGTACAGATTTAAAAGTTGTTCAAGTGTGAAATACCGCCTGACCTTGTAAAGTATGCCTAGTGTTTTGGCTGCAGTTTTTGCCAAGCTCTCGATTTATCACCCAAAGTTGAGGTTGAGGTTGGTAAGTCCAGACCAAGTAGCTCAAGGTGGTCACTTATCGGCACGGATACATCTCGAGGTTCTCTAAAAATTCAGCGACAAGAAACCTCCCGAATAAGTTTAGTTAATTTCCATTTTAATTTAGGTGACGGCGCCAATGAATTCCTTAGCAGATTTTCAAATAACACCAACATTAAAACAGAAAGCATCACTCAAAGCCTCAATCGACAAGTATCCAGTGTTGAAGAATCAGGAACTAGTAAATAAATTCATGGCAGTACCTATGACTAATAATCAAAAAGGTGTGTTTTTGTATTTTAATAATAAAATGTCACCACGTACTTATTATAGTTCCTACGACGTGTAATTGCGAAACTACCTTTTCTACTAGTGTGTACTGTGCTTCGTGACGCTAATAGTGGTGGGGACTTCGAAGTTTTTAAAAGATATTTCCGATTCATATTAGGCTAAAGACAGCTCTCGTTATTCTGCAGACAGTCTTGTAGACTACAATTCGGCTATTATCGAACTAATAATTATACTAATAAATCTTGTGTTTGTTCCAAATTAAAAAAAGAACTAAATCCGTCGTTCTGACTCAGTGTTGCTGTTAGAACCATCACGATCTACTAACTACATTATTCTGTCAAAGTTTTTGACAGATAAGCATAAGAATAAAAAAAAAGAAAAAAAAAGCGCGAAGCGAGTCACGCAAGCTAGCGAAAAACGCAAGTGAACCTGTCATTAGCCAACATTATTATAATTTATAAAACAATTAGGCGCATTTTATTTTTATTGAACATCGTGATGTTTTTGCGTATATACGCGTAATTTGTTTGTGAAAACCCACCACTAATTTCTTATTATTATTGAAACAAAGATCAAATAAACACAAAAAGGAAAATTCCTTCGACTGGACTCGAACAAATGTCTGTTAGGGTAGCACATTACGATACGATTTTTATGAAGATCGATTCAAGTGTACTTATACGATCTAGTGATTCATTTCAATGCTATTTTTAAATGAATCGATTCAACATTAACATCCATATCGTATTCATAATTTAAAGAAGACAGTCTCTTTCTGGACCCCTATTTTATAATGGTCTGCAAGAAAAGCAGTTTGGCAACATCTAAGTACAATAAATCTACAATATTTGGCTATTTTCGCTACTTCTGTGCCATCTGAGTCTTTTCTAACAGGCTAGGCAAAGTCGTAACCGACTGATAACAAAATGGCTGTCAAAAATATTTTTTTTAATCGTAATTAATTTTGAAACGATTTTTATGAGATCGATTCAAGAGCACACGATCCGATCTGTCGATCGATCGATTCAGAGGCCTATGATCCATTACGATTAAAAAAATCTATTAAAAGCAAAAAATTGTGCATCCCTGGTGTCTTTTGCCTCTGCGTAACTACGATCCGTAGCTCAGTTGACAGAGCGGGTAACGTTGAGACAACAGACGCGATATCGAATCCAGCCGGATCAAAGGATTTTTTTTGCGTTTGTTCCATCTTTGTATTAAGAATAATAACGATTGAGCACAGTTCAAAAAGGCAGGTATTTTATTTGAGAAGGCATATATATACATTTTATCACGCCAGTCCACTAGTATTAGACCTTCGACACACTCTCGTTTTGTTCTTTATTATTTTTGATCGGGTTTTTTAAGGTCCCTTAATTTCCATTTCGATACCTCCAATGATACGCCTATTTTATTTTTAGATCATACTGTGTTATTTTTGTTAACAACCATATTTATTTACTAATATTATGCTCCCCGAATTTTGTGAAAAAAAGAAACAAAAACAAACATAAAAAAAACGAATTTTGTGAAAATAGTAAACAAATACCAAAATAGAAACAGAACAGATCCAAAAATTAAGTTGGCATCGTGTTCATTGGAGAATTTAACCTTTTCCCTAGAAATACCGAAAACAACATATAATATGCGGTGTATTTGGTTGCATTTGAAATAAGGATATTTAAATTTACGATACAGGTCGCATCCGTCAAGTTTTAAGAGAAATCTTCAAAGGAACCTCAGAGACATTGTTGCCAGATGTAATTAACAATAGAATACAGGCAATATTGAAAAGTTCACCAAATCTAACCGACATTGATTTACGTAAAATAAGAATTTTATACAACATGTTGAAGAAATCAACGGAAAATAAAGATTATACATTGGAAATGGAAATCGATTCGAATGAAAATGAGAAAAAACCTAAAAAACGTAAAAAGGGCGCGAAGAAAGTTAATGATGATATTAAAAAAGATTCTCCTATAGGTTCAAAGCGATATGTGCTTTTTATTGGTAATTTGCCATTGGCTGTCACTAAAGAACAGGTACGTATTATTTTTTTTTGCATGATGTAACTTTTTTATGAAATATATTATTATCTATTCAGAGTTATTTGTAAAATACTAAAGCGCGGGTCACACTGCAAACGAAGCTAAGCTAAGTTAGCTTAGCTCTCGTAGCCAGAGCATCTATCTACTCATACTTCGTTTCACACTGCGAACTAAGCTTACCGAGCTAACTAAACTAACACAAGGATCAAAAAGGAGGCTCTTAATTCGACTGAATTTTTATGTATGTTACGCGATAATTTGTAAATCGATTATGATGATTCTTTTTTTTTTTTTTTGTTGAAAAAAGGATACCTCAGTATTAGTCCCTTTAGTTCGTCCAGGGAAACTTTTTACTGTGTTCCGATTTTGAAGGGTAAGGGTGCTGATGAAATTACAGACACATGGAACTTGTCTACTTATGTCTCAGAGTGGCGGTCGCAGGGGCAGGGCCCCTCAGATGTTTGCGATTTAAAGCTCTTGAGTAGCATTTCAAATGTGTATAATAAATGTAATAAACGACATGTTCGTTCTGTCACTTGCTATTATAAAAAAATTATTTAAATTTGAAGAGAATATTCCACCTGTAAGGATGGCAAACTAGGGGATTAACCCGCTTTCGTAAACTTTCCGGTAACCGATTTGAATTAAACTTGGCAAATAGATGTAATACCACGAACTTTTGAGGTTGGTTTTTTTTTTTTATAAAACAGTTACAATTATTATTAACATGGATTGCTGCAGAGTAACGCCTGAAAGTAAGTATTAATTAGGAGTAAATGTGATGTATTCCAATTTTATTTATTTCTATTCTTTCATTCAGATTTTGGATCATTTCTGGGACCTTAGGGACAGTGTGAAAGACGTTCGCCTTCCGAAGCGCGATTCAAGCAAGAAGACTGCCATTGCGTATATCGAACTTATGAACGAACCTAGCTACGAGGTAATTTCCTGTATGTGTATAGTTTACCATGTTATCCGTGACATCAATAGGGTAATTTTCAGGTAAGTTTTTTTGTTACTCAATTTTGGTGACAATTTCTTTCGAGTACTATTTAATATTCGAATGTGGTAACCTGAAATATTCCTTAATATTTGACGATGATATATTAGAGTAATTAAATAATAATAATTGTCACCAAAATTGAGTACAAAAACTTACCTGAAAATTACTGAATAATGTCATCGAGTTGTGTTCGTGTTAAAAAAACCGT